AAGATGAATATTTGTTACCTATGGTTGACATGAGTTCTTCTCATGTGATTTTCTCTTTCATGCATGGGTCATATAGTTAAAACCAGATTAAGATGCTCTCTAAGGACGAGAATTACATTGCATTCCAAACATCCTTTGATTTCTATTATCATAAGGTTATATTTTTCTGTCTTAAAAATGTCGGCGCCACAGATTACCGGACCATGACTAAAATTTTCATGAACTCATCCATAACTAAGTTGAATGTTTTGTTGATGATTTAGTCGTCAAATGCAAAGAAAAAAAAAAGACCACTTGTTCAATTTAAGAATTATCTTTGAGTTATTATATCAATATAATGTCAAAATGAATCCACAAAAATGTGCCTTCAAAGTTACTTTAGATAAACTCTTGGGATTTGTTGTTTAGCACTGTTGGATTAAGATTGATCCCTATAATATTAAAGCTACTTTTAAATTTTTTACACAATTAAGATTCTTTCAAGGGAGATTGTTTACCTTAGAAATTTTATATTTAATCTTTCTGGGAGGTTTCAACATTTTTATTGTATTAACTAAAAAGGATACCAAGTTTACTTGAGATGATAAATATTAACATGTTTTTTGAGAACATAAATCAATATCTGATGACACCACATGTATTAGTAGCTCCTATCCTGAGTAAACTTTTGATGCTTTACAACGCAAAATTAGACGACTCTCTCGGAGCTCTATTGTCCAAAATCAATAATGAGGGCAAAGAAAATGTATTATATTAATTTAGTTATTATTTGATTTTTGTGTAGTTGAAGTATCCTTCAATTGAGAAAAATTATTTGACATTAATATTTGTAGTCCAAAAGCTTTTGCATTACATGTTTTCTCATAAAATCAACCTTATTTTAAGATTTAACAATTGCAACATTTGATGGCTCAAACAATATTATTTGGAATACTAGAAATATGGTAGTTGGTCTTATTACAATTTGATATAACATTTGTTCCACTTCAAGTTGTGAAAGGTCAAGTCTTGTCTGACTTATTAGCAGCGTACTAGCTTCTTATAGATTCATCTCCAAATGATGGCTTAACTGAGGAATAAGTTATAAATTTAAACAAACAAGATAACTATTGCTAGAAGATGTACTTTGATGAAGCTTCATCTTCCCAAAATGGTGAATAACCTCAAATAATCATTCATGGGAAAGTAAAAAATTAGATTGATTTTCATTACTCCTGATGAAGGAATTATCATACATATCTTTCCACTTATCAAAACCTTGCACTAAAAACAAAGCAAAATATGAATCTCTAATTATTGATTTGGAGTCAGTTATTCTTATGTATAAAATACACATCAAGATTTGTGGGATTCTCAATTGATTATGAAAACGAAAACAAAAAATACAAAGTTTCGTGATAAAGCTAAAACAGTACTATTTGTATACCATGAAACTCCTCGAGCAAATTCTAAATGTGACATTATACCAAATACCCCATGGAGATAGCTACCTAGTAAACAATTTGGCAAAACTCGCTAAGAAACTTGTGTGCCCTGAAGAAGATTCTATTCATATCGATATACAAGGGCGTCAATTTTTTATTTCTAATCAATATGGAATATTTGCTTAAATTATTTACTAATGGGAATGTTGCCCTTGCAGGTAAAGAGGACATAAGTGACCGACGATAGCCATTTATAGATTACTTATAAATAGAATAATTATTCCAAGAGAAATCTCTAGCCCACTAGATCAAAAAAGGAGCATTGTCCTATACTTTGATTGATGATGTTCTTTATAAGATCGTTTGATTAGATGTGGTTAAAATGTATTTAAAAATCAAAAGCATAGAAGATAGTTAACAAAATACATTCCAACTTAAGTGGTGATCATTAGTCTGGTCCAAATATAAAGACAAAGATTAAAAGACTTAGATATTATTAGCCTGCTTTGATTATAGATTGTATGGAAGTTCCTAAGAAATACATCAATGAAAAATACACGGGATTGTGTTACATCAACTTCTTAATGTTCTGCACACAACAATTGCCTTTGGGACTTTTGAGTATTAGGGTATGGATGTAGTGGGGGTCAAATATACCTCCTTTCTCTATGATCATAAGTTATTATGTCAGCTACAAACAGCATCTCTAAATCGGTAAAGGCAATATCATTATGAGAAGTTAAATAACATTATGTTCTTCAGTTCTTCAAGAACCATTTCATATATATGTTTGAAATTCTCTATCAAATAATATTTAACAATGGTTCTACCTTTAAAAGCAAAAATATTAATAATTTTATCTAACAATAAGGTACGGACTAGAGATTTTCCATGATATACTACCAGAAAAATGGATTAGTAGAAGCTTTCAATTAAATATTAGTTTATATATTATTTGATGATAATAAAAGATAATGGAACGAATAATGATTGTATGCTCTATGGCCTTACAAAACCATATATAAAACCCCAACTTAGCCTGCACCTTATGTCTTAGTATATGGGTCAGAGGTTGTACCCCCTCTAGAGTTTCAAGTCCCTTTACTAACAATAATAGTCAATAATAAGATCATAATAAGCTTCATTTATAAGAACTTGAGAGTTTAGAAAGGAAGCATCTACTGGCCCAATAAAACCTCAAGTTAAACCAAGCTAAAATGGTTTAACTCAGGATAAATTGGTCTATTTTAGAACTTCTTGAGTTGGTTACTTTGCCTAAGGTCTTTGTTTTGCATTAGCTTTAGTCATTTGCATAAAATTCATGCCCATATAGCTTGATTTTCATAATCAAATTGTAAGGCCAATTTTATCTTTTTAATAAATAATAACCTAGCATATCATGCATTTCAGAAGATCAGACTTGCATGGTTTTGAGATGTTACAAAAATTTAGCTAGTAATCCTATCCAGACAAAATTATATGTCTGGTAGAGTTGGACTCCTTTTAGTCATTTGTGGGATTGAATTATTAAGTCCCTTTGTTTACATTTTCTCATTAGATTAAGTTTGAGTTTCTATTTGGCTATTAATCTCATATTTAGTCTTAGGATTTTGAGCATGCTCGTCTCACTACAACATAAATCCTTATCTCCTAGCTTTCTTACGATTTGATATCTTTGAAATATAAATCCTAATTTCTAATAAAATGTCAATTCAAACCAATAAATTTCTTCAATTTCAAAAATCATGAAAACCAAACCATAGGATAATAGATATATCAATGAGTTTCTCAATACCTAAACACTTCCTATTATTTCTCCTTTTGATTCCGATAATTATTATTCAACATTGATCTTTCCTATTTGAAATTCCAATTAAGTAATCATTAAAACTAAGCTTTGAAAATCTTGAAGATTTAACATCATCTATAATCAAAGAGATTTCTTTAGTGATTTTGCCCCTCAAAGTGTAATTAACTATATGAGTTTTTTTCTTATAAGAAATTTGTAACCCATATTAATTTAAATCCTATCTAGCATTCATTAGGAAAAAAAATTGTTGGTTTAAGCATAGGCTCATTAAATATTTAATAAAATTCTTTATTTCTGAGTAATCAAATCCATCCTTCTCAAGCCTCTAGGCCTTAAGTTTTAAGGATGCTAGAGCTGATTAAAAGATGCAAGGGGTCGCTGTGACAGTTAGTTTCTATAGCATTGAATTCTTCCAGTATTTTCAAACGATTATTTTACTGTAATTTTGTATTCTTTACTAAAAGGTAATTAATAGTTATATTTTTAATAATGAAATTTTGAATGTTTAAACATTAAAATAAAGAAGTTTAGGTATATAGATAATGTAAATGCAAAATAACTGTTGTATCCATTCAAATGCCACTAATATAAAATAAATAAGGTGATAAATATGAATCATCATAAATTCAAAACTATGATGAAATTCAGCTCATTGGATAAAAGTTCATGTGAAAGAATATTGGGAGCAGAAATTTATGATATTGTTGAAGATTTATGGTCTTTAATTTCACTGTGCTTGCAATGATAATTGAACAATATCCATATATGGACATATTTTGATAGCGCTTGCAAGTGCTCCATTTACCGGACACCGCACGTCTGAACGGCTAACCACTGACAGCCACATCACAATACACATCATCAGTGATCAACCTTTTCAAAATTTTCTAGTGCTATTATGTCTACGCCAGGCTAGGTCTGGAGAACTCATCAAACCACAAGCATTTCAACATCATTTGTTAGTAGCTAGTACTCTCCATCTCCTCACTACGTCTTCACTTTCGGTCTCCTCTACTGACCTCTACTTTATAAAGAACAGAGGTGTCAAGCATTTCTCATAAATTTACTTTTTCACATTCTTCATTCACTCCTACCCAAAAGTTCTCAAGTACATTAAATTATACAGCTCGTAATAGATTTTACAAAACTAGTGTCCCAAGTTGGCAGTCATAAATAAAGGCTCCAGTAAAAAACAAAAGTAAAATTTTACAGATTTCTGTTTCAACATAGTTCTACTGATAAGGTGAAATAGTGTTAAATTAAAAGCAAACATCTCCAACAAGTTATCAAGAAAGAGAAAGCTGTACACAATTCTGTGAGGTGGTTTGTTTGAGTTTACTTTATGCGCAAATCAATCTTCAAGCAATCCACTGAGAAGAACAAAACCCAGAGGGTTTAGGGTTTTGGTTTTGTTCTTCTCAGTGGATTGCTTGAAGATTGGATTATTTTATATAATGAACGGTGTAATTTGATTAATTCGATCAAATTTTAAGGGTTTAGGGTTTAGGGTTTAGGGTTTTGGTTTTGTTCTTCTCAGTGGATTGCTTGAAGATTGATTTGCGCATAAAGTAAACTCAAACAAACCACCTCACAGAAACAATCAACAATCTAAATTATACTGCAAATCATATGAAAAAGGAATAATCAGCATTAAATTGTAACTATGATGAAATTTGTGAAAATTTAAACTCTGAATAATTTATATTAATCATTTGATGCAATATGAAGGAAAAAAAACATGTTAAGAATATATAAAAAAAGATCCCTAAAGCAAAGCCATGAAGAAATTTGTGTTTATCAACTATAATTCACAAAGAGTAAAGAAGGTATCATAAAAAAATGGAAAGATAACTGCCCCGATGCATCAACCGTGAACAAAAGTTACTTCTCCCTGAAAGCATAATAAGCACAGAAGCATCCTCACTGAAACATTATTATTATATAATATGAGGCCAGTTGAAAGTAAACAACATTTCTCAAAGCAAGTAATATATATATAAATTCTTTTTGCTAATCATGAAATAGTGCAGAGATTCTATAATTGAGGGAGTATAATACACTGCCATAGAATGAAATCATAGAAATTGAAAAAGATCATTTAGTAAAAAATAACAAAGTTATAAAACTACTACACTAGATGTTAAGGTTTTCATGTCAATGTGAAAGATCAAAATTAAATAAAAGGGAAAAAAGGACTTTAAAATGGATGTTCAGATTATATTGATCGTGTTTCTTAACAGATTCATAAGTTCAATACTTCTTACATTTCCATGCAGCACATTAACCAAGAAACAAGTTTAATATAAATTAGTACAATGACTATAGAAAAACCCCCGTCTATTTTATGTGAAATAATTGAATAATTCGATTCTGATACATGGCATCAGTTGAATACATATCAAAGCCGATAGCCTGATTGAATGCCCTGCTCACAAGGCTGGTTTATGAATAAAACACTATTAACACTTTATTTGTTTGTCATAAATTACAACCAGCTCAGTATTTACAAAAGCATATAAATCTGCTTATTCAGTTAAAATGGAATATGAGTTTCCTGTTGTATCATCAACATTCCAGCATATTAATTTAGAAGAACCCCATATATGCATTTCAGACAACTAGTTCCATCAATTTCTTGCTTATTCTAACATTTAGCTAACTAGGGGTAGAATTAATAAAACAAAGAATACTTCCACGACATGCAATTTTAGTTGATGTGAAATTAACATTCATCAACAACTATTAATAAGGGACCAATAAAGAATGTCTAAAAATACTAGATTATCACAAAAAATAATTACCATATAAATGGTTATATAACCTGTAGAATTAAAACCAGGTTATAAGCAAAGAAATGTGCTTGTTGTATTCTCAATCATCAAAACTTGATGTAAGAATGGCAGTATGACCATTTATGTTGTGATGGAACTGATTAATTGTCTGCAAGTTCTTGAATTAACAACCATTGAAGAAACAGTAATAAAAAATGCTTTGGGATTTTCAGAATGAAAGGTATAAGACAAAATAAAATGGAGCATAGAAGTTGATAAGTAATGAAAAGGAACAAAGCTGAAAGACCAAATGTAATATGGATAAAATTCTCCCAAAAAGGAATAGTGGAAAGTTTACAATAGAGTTAACACCAAGTATAGGACTGGAACACTCAAGGAGAATTCGCAAAGCCAAGTTAAAGCCGCTGAAGATGATGATATCATAAACATGTGTAATTTAAACAAACACATACAAACATTTACAAATAGTCTACCTTTATGATCAATTGACATGAAAAGAGTTCATATTCTGAATACAACTTCTTAATGTTAATACCGTCAAAACACAAAATTAATATTATGTCATCGGTTGATCTAGACGACCGCTAATTGGAACATGATGAGAAAATATAAAAAATGCAGTGCTCCTCAGTAAAATTTTAGCTTCAACTTAAACATTTCAAATTTAAATTCATTTAATTTGTCCATGACATTGCTTGGAGCATACATTCTCAATAAAATATCTAATTGGTACCCCATACATCATAAAATTTATTGAATCCTTTAACCTATAAACTAATCCAAAAGGTTAGGGTGCACAATAAAAGTGAACCAAAAAATACAAACTAAAAAGGCTAAATTGGTTGCTTTGTTTTGGTTTCATATTGATATTTTGTCAAAATCAACTTGGCTTGGCTTAACATAGGTTTGAGGCTTTGCAAAAAACAAAATTAATCAAACAAATATCTATCTGTATATGTATGTGTGTGTGTGTGTGTGTGTGTGTGTGTGTCTATATATA